ATCACACACTTGATTTGTCCATAACCAGTTTTTAACCTGTGCCTTAAACAAGTTGAATTTTGAGCATTCTCAAATGGATTGTTGTGGCTAAAATAAAACCCAATCCTAACCCTAACCACAGACTTGGTAAATGTTAAAACTCAGGTGGGCAATTAATTTTCCTGAGAGAAACTGGAGAGATGAATCAATAATTTTAGAAAGATTAAAAATAATAATACAGCAGAAATGAATTCAAGTTAATGGTGCTGTGACAGACCCAGTTTTTCCACTGGAAAATGGGTTAAAGGTTTAAGGGATTTTCCACTTTACCATTTGCCTTTTTGAACAGTTCGACAGCATCAGGGTTCAAGGCAAGAAGCTTCTGTGCGACTTCAATAAGAGAAACCAGGATTTTTCTGAGCTCTGTTTGAAACTGCAACAACACAAACAACAATATACAAGGACATTAAAAATAATTACAAGCTATCAGTCCAGGTACAGTGCAGGTAAATTTCTCATTTACAATATTTTAAAGTATTATTGTAATTTATCTACATTTCAGTGCACCCTGTGAGCTAAAGCTAAAGCTCTCTTACGTCTCTGATGTTGTGTTGCGTAACAGTACGGTCTGTGTGGCGTGTGGATAGGCTGGCGGTGGCTTTCAGAATAGCATCTTTATCTGGAGCTTTGTTTTCTTGTTTCTTCTGTGATGAACAGAATAAACAGCAGTTAATAAAATATATGCATGTTTAAAAATAGGACTTCTTCCCAAAAACTGGACAGAGGACTTACCTTGTCTTCTGAACTAACGTCAGCCGTCTTTGGAGGGGTTGGTGGCGGTCTTTTCTTTATGAGCAGCAAAACATCTACAACATACATTAAACATGTTAGCTTCATGGAAAACTGTGGCAAACCACGGCAAACTGGAGAGACGCTACATACCTTTATCTTTGAGATTTTCATCAGCAACAGTTTTTGTGTCAGAGAGGACTCTTTCTGTAGCAGCATGAATAAGTTTATGATGTGTAAGGGTTTTGGGATCTTCTAGACTTCCATGTACACACTACAAATTAAGCACAAAACAAAACAACTCAGGCACAACCAGATAACTCATTGTAACTAATCACTTTCTTTGTTTTAAATATAATTCAGTTACTGTTATAAGTAGGACCAATAATGACAGACATTTGAAAAAGTTATTTAAAAGAAGAGAAAAAGGAAAAAAAACAAAACAAAAAAACCAAAAAAAACCCAAAACAACCGATGATCTAGATGACCAAGATCCTACACAGAAACAGTGGATTGAAAAACTTAAACACAATTTTTAAGTTGTACATGTCACAGTGTGCTAGTTATCTGCTTTGTAAATGGCCTGGTCATTAAAAAAATAAAATAATTAAACTAGTAACTAACTATTTTAACTAGAAATAGTACCATCTGCTTCTGCTTTCTGACAACTTTTAATGAAAGCGGTGTACTTTGTTTTTTTAATATAGATTATGGCAATGGTGCTGTTGGTCTATATGACTTATGCATTAAAATGGGTCTGACACCCCTGCAACAGAGAAAGCGACACCCCTGCAACAGAGCAAGCCAGATCCTCACAACACAGTTGCAGGAACAAGCAAATTTTCGAGTTTTGGTTATCAAAATAACTTTAGATCTATTTTCTCTTGATCAGCTTTAATCAGTTAACTACATCAGCTCTGA